AATAAACTGATTATGTAGATTTAACCACACATAAAGTGTAAGCACTAATTATTAACTTGGAACATTAATAAAGACATTTAATAAACTGATTATGTAGATTTAACCACACATAAAGTGTAAGCACTAATTATTAACTTGGAACATTAATAAAGACATTTAATAAACTGATTATGTAGATTTAACCACACATAAAGTGTAAGCACTAATTATTCACTTGGAACATTAATAAAGACATTTAATAAACTGATTATGTAGATTTAACCACACATAAAGTGTAACCACTAATTATTAACTTGGAACATTAATAAAGACATTTAATAAACTGATTATGTAGATTTAACCACACATAAAGTGTAAGCACTAATTATTCACTTGGAACATTAATAAAGACATATAATAAACTGATTATGTAGATTTAACTACACATTCAGTGTTTTTGTTTTATCTTTGCCTAATCTTTTATTTTGCTGCCAACAATCAAAGTGGCAGAATTATTAGGCATGTTTTGTTTTAACAAAAATCTTGTCCGATATAATTTAATCACTTTTGGAATCAGCAGGGCTGGGCTAAAATTCCATTTCAAATGATGTTCACATACTATACAAGAAATACAATGTTCTTGTTAAGCCTCATATTAAAGCGTTCTTGCTGTTTTAGGTTATGCATTTTACGCCATAAGATAAAGACAAGTGAATATTTTAGAAGTCGACTTGCCAGTTTTTATTTAATTTTAACAAAGTTAGAAGCATTATATTTCACTAGTCACTTTATCCTTATTGTGGTTTTTCTTCTGTGAAATAGTAGTTCTCTTTGGTGTTATCAGACTTGTTTTTAACTTTTCTGTCTTGTTACAGGCTAGTAAGTGGTGACTTTCTGATGTCTTTTTCAGAACTGTATCATCAGTCCTTCCCTAGCACAGAATCTCTTGATCGTTCTATGACGCTAAAGTCTCGTGACTCTACTCCTCCTTTATCTCTTCCCCCTACCAGGTTTGAAAGAGACCCCCAGACAGGTATAGACCTCACATTTCCACCCCCACTTCTTTCCACATTCACAGGAATCGTGGCCTCCCCACCGTCATTCCAGAATCAAGTTCATTACTCACCACACCTCTCTCCTCACCACTACCCACTTACCTCTGTATCAGCCCACCCATCTCTGTATGCAACAGGAAGGAGAAGGACTGGTTCTAAACCATCTCCATTTCCTCGATACTCTCAGACAAAGGCGGAGCGAGGGAAGAAAAGTAAATCTGGAATTTCTTCTGCTCCCAGCCTAGCCTCTGCACAGCCAGGATCAACACCAAGACCCGATGATGCTTCCGACAGCATTACTGATGATGATGATACCTTATCCTCAGGCTTAAGTGGTGATTACGTTTTTTGTCTCTGTTTTTGTTTGGATGGAGATGTAAACAGACTATCTGCATGGGCTGTTACCGTTCCTTGCATGAGCACACCAGCTGTAACTTGTTGGTTGATGTCCTTCAGTTGTTCTTTAACATTTTAGTACCATGATAGTTGGTGAATTATTTTATATATATATGTGTGTGTGTTGACATGTACTTACTGGTAATGTTTAGTTGTTGATCATTTTTGGATTTGATTTTCAGTTTAACGTTTATAACTTTGATTTCTGTTTGGCTTACTTATCGGTTTCGTGGTTAACAATTGATAAAATGTCAGTTACGTTTTTGTATTGTTTTTCATGATTGTGTTTTATTTACAGCTTAACTGTAACCTTGACTGCTTGTAAAAGACTACTTTGTTGGTGTTCTTAGACCGTATGTTTTCTTTGCATGGTTCAGTTTTGGTTTTGGTTTGGTGTCTACATACATTTATAATTGTGCTGGAAATCATTGTTGTTAAAAATAACTTTTATTTTAGTTAAACTGAAAATTCTGAATGTAAAAATATAAAACTTCAGTGTGAGTTTATGTCCACATATAATATTCTGAGCTCTTAAAAAAAATCTTTTTAAAAGTATGAATAATTTCTTCTTTTATTGTGATTGTTTTTGTTTAAGCTAGATAACGATATCTACTCTTGGTACTAATACTCTTTGTAGGGTAGTTTTTTAGTGTTATGGAATGTTATAAATGTACCAGAAATATAATAGTTTATATTGTACTGCTTCTTTCACAGACTTGTGAAACTTCCTGTATAGAAACTGTATATTTGTTTTGTTTTAATGTAGCAGCTTTCCTTTCAAAAGAATCACAAAATCTCTTCTGTAGACAAGAAATGTCTTTGGACAAAAATTGTAGATATAATTCTGATCCATTACTTTCCCAAAAAAATTACTTCAGAAAATAAATGTTCAACATGACCTATTACTTTCAGGAAATAAATGTTCAACATGACCCATTACTTTCACAAAAATAAATGTTCAACATGACCCATTACTTTCACAAAAATATTACTTCAGAAAATAAATGTTCAACATGACCCATTACTTTCAGGAAACAAATGTTCAACATGACCTATTACTTTCAGAAAAAAATTACTTCAGAAAATAAATGTTCGATATGACCCATTACTTTCAGGAAATAAATGTTCGATATGGCCCATTACTTTCAGGAAATAAATGTTCGATATGGCCCATTATTTTCAGGAAATAAATGTTCGATATGGCCCATTATTTTCAGGAAATAAATGTTCGATATGACCCATTACTTTCAGGAAATAAATGTTCGATATGACCCATTACTTTCAGGAAATAAATGTTCAACATGACCCATTACTTCGAGAAAAAATTACTTCAGAAAATAAATGTTCAACATGACCCATTACTTCGAGAAAAAAATTACTTCAGAAAATAAATGTTCGATATGACCCATTACTTTCAGGAAATAAATGTTCGATATGACCCATTACTTTCAGGAAATAAATGTTCGATATGACCCATTACTTTCAGGAAATAAATGTTCGA